AGAAATACTATTGGGAAGGCATAATTTCAACGAGCACTTCAGCTGCTACTGCATGTGATTTTTAGAACTTGTTTTCAGCAGCTCACACTTACACCTAGTCATCAACAGAAGGGGAAGTAGATGCTGGAAGGAGGGGTGCTCAAAGTATTCTGTATACACCTTAAAAAGTGCAAAGCAAAGTGGGGGTTCACAGCCCCCATTTACATCAGATGTCTAATGTCCTGCAGTCTTCATGCACTGTTAGTCTGTCCAGCAGCCTGTTTTTTGTGAGACTGAGGATTGACTGGCATCTGGCTGGGGCAGGATATAGGGCTTGAAATGCTGCTTGGCTGTTGAAGTTAAGACTGTAAATGTGCAGATACAGCTGAATGCCTTCAGTTGCCTGGCTTGGGTGCAGGTAGGTAGCATGTATGTGATGATGCAGCGTTTTTACAAAGCCAGGTAGCCTAGCAGAAAAACTAGTTCTACCAGTCTCAGCAGAAAATGAAGTTAAGTATACTGTTTTGTGCCCTGTAGCAAGCTGACTTTGGCTTTCTACCTCGTACCAGAGTTAAAGAACCAGTAAGATGGAGTAGATGGAAACAGGGAGCAAAGTAACCTCACTTATGAGGTCTTGCCTTAGTTGGCTGCATGTCTATCAAGTTTGCCAAGGAGAACCACAGTTACTTCATGCTCTTAAATTAATCAGTCCATGGAGAAGACAGGGCTGTACTGTTCTGCCCAGTTTGTCCTTTCAGATAGTAAAGCTCAAAATAGTTTTGTTCACTTTTTCTGAGATAAGTCAACCAGACAAATTACAGTGACTGTTACACAGAAGCAATTTTTTTTTTTTTAAATTGCTTCTTGCATTGTTTGTGGGCCTTGTAGAACTCCTGCAATTATTACCAAATCCTTTTTGGGAAGCTACTGTAGAAATAGCTTGACCATATTAAATTAGTTAGAGATGGCAGTGAAAGGACAATATGGTCACTTTTTCCACTCTTGATGGTTGTGAGGTTTCTGCTTCCTCTGGGTTGTACCTCTTGGCTCCTATAAATTGGTAGCAGAACTTTAACTTCATAATGTGACTTGTGTAATACTCCTCATGAAAATGATTCTGACTCACAGTTTCAAAGTGAGGTTAAAGATTAGCTTGAGACCTTCAAGCAGTAGGTTTGAGTCAAGAAATTATGTGCAAAGGGAAGTAAGAAGCTTTTGAGGAGTGACTTGCTACAGGGAGTACCTCTAACTACGCCATCTGATTTAGTGGAGGAGTTCTTGTGTAATAGCTTATTTCATATGCCTAGATGGTGACCCTTTGCACATAGTTCACATGGTAAGGTCTAACAGTGTATCTACTGTGAGTTATTTCAAGGCTGAACTGTAAGAAAAACACTACTATGTCTGTGTGGAGAAACTGATGGCTAATATGTATGAGCTACAAGAGCCATCTTGCTGTGGCATGTTTTCCAATGTAATTTGGCCACAGATGTTTTGATCAATTTTTTTCACCAATAAGCACAGTTGAGAAAGTAACATTCTGATGTAATCTGACACTTTATATTTCTTTGTGCCTGTACACAGCTAAACTTAAAACTTGTGAGTGGTAACACAGTGTGCTGAGGCATGTAGGTGCAGATGTAGAAAATTGCTTCTGCTGATACGTTTGTTGAATACATCAAAAATTCCATAAAGCACAGCATAAAGAAATTTCTTGTAATCACTCAGTCACTTAAGCAAATACTTTGGATGGGATGATTTACCAACTTTTATCACCTGGTAAATGTCTTTTTGCAGATTTGGTGTTGGTCTTGCCATAACGGTGCTGCTCTCCTCAAAATGTCTGCGTTTCCCAAAGAACAGGATGACAGCACTTCACAAATGCAAAAAGCCTTCTTGGATGGGTCAGTAATAGCTATTCTGTCCACAACACTTTGCTTGGTATGGACCTTGCTTCTCTTTTTCCATATATGCTATATCTTTAAGCTTGCACGCATCAGGAAACAAGTTCTAGATCTAGAAGTAGTTGCCTGTAGTGGAATGAGTTTAAGTCCTTGGCCTAACAACATCGGTTGATTTTTGCAGGACTGTAACATCACTGAAGGCTTATTTGCAGAAATGCATGTGTATATGTGTGTATATGTGTATATATATATACATAATCAAATGAATCTCTGTAGAGGCTGTGGCTTGCTGTTAGATAAAGCACCACCAAAACCTCTAGGTCTTACATAAAGTATAGTTAGCTGATGGTCAGTGGTGTTTGCAAGTAAGAGAAGTCTAGGCTCTGTCTCTAAACATGAATTTGCAAGCTGAGTTTTAAATCTCTCTGGACTTCGCTGTCTTCTCAAAACTAGGTTCGTGTTCTTAAATAGCTTTATCTGAAGTGACCTGAAATGACTGAGACAATCTAGCAGCTCGCTGCTGCTACTTTCAGATGTGATGTCAGACAGCACTTTGTTTCAGCCGAGGTAGTGAGCTGAATTAGCTCAGCAGTCTGAAAAATGCCAAAGCTAGCATAAGGGGAAGAGCACAGCTGCCTGGCTGAGAGTTACAGCAATGACTTCTTGCTGCTCTTTTCTGACTTTTTTTGACCTTTTGGGTGTCCTGGAGAGAACTTCTCTCTTAGCAGCAAGCTACTAGATCAAGCTAGCACTTGTACTAACTTCTTGTACTAGGAGCTTGTACTGCTTCACTGCTACCTCCTTTCTTCTCATAGATGGAGAACTTGTTAATCACATGGAAGTAACAGAAAAATAGCTTGATTAGGCTCCTAAAACTACTTTTGTTTTTGAAATTAATTATACTTGCATGGGAAAGGCTTTCAACCCTTCCTGCAGATTCTCTAATGCTCGTCCCTTGAAATGGGGAAGTTTACTGGACTTACACCTCTTTAATACTGTTTCATAATGTGAAAGTAAGTAAAACTAGCAGTAAGCTGTAACAAGGTATCAACTTCTATTTTGATCCCATGTCTGGAACTGTGGGAGCTTGGGGTGGTATTGGTGGTTTTCTTTGCTACAGAGTACTAGTGGTTAACCACTAATACTTAAAAATATATCCACAAATTGTCCATAAGGCTGTGTTAACCTGCCATTGTAGTAGTAGTCTGAACTCAAGCACACAGCAGATGTTTACAATTAACAGCTGCTTTTATTGAAAAAACTGTTTAGAGCCAGATCTTCTAGTGCAAATTGTTTACTTCAATTTGGAAGAAGTATCACAATTGTTTGCTTTCCCCCAGTTGTCTTACCCGATGCATCTTCCAGTAGGTCTAGTAACCTGCACTTCTGATGTGAACTCCTGTTCACTTAAGGTCTCACTCAAAGCAGATTTCTGTGCTACAACATACAGCGAACTAAGTACTCTGTCCTGTCTGGGAAAGTGCCTGCAAGGCTTCACGTTTGCAGGAGAAGCTAGAGCAGCTGTTCCTAAATCTTGACAATAAAAAGTCAGCATGACAACAAAGGTATTTACTAAGCTGATGTTCATCTGAATTCTGGAGCCTGAATGAGAGGGGACGTTCTGGGTCCAAACCAAAGCTTCATTTGGCTCAGTATTTTTTCTCCTCTTCCTAGGGAAAAAAATAGCAGATGCGTAGGGAAGTACAAGGCAGGTATACTGTTTTGTTTGAGTCCAAATTTTTCTTTTCTGATACTCACGTGTTTCGTTAGCAGACCTGGCAGCTAGGTATCAGAATGTAATTTGGTTGATAAAAGTCAAGAAAAATTGTGTCTGCTGGGACGTTTGGGTATTTCTATCCGTCTCTTCTTTCTGAATTCACTTATAAGTAGCCCACTAGTAAAGTAGTTTTGATGTGTTTAGTGAAAACAATACTAAAGAAGCAGTAGTAAAAATCAGGTAATGCTTGTAACATTTATAACTAAACAAATATGCATGAATATGATTTTATTGGTGTAACAGTTAAGAGCAGCAAAACTTTTCATAAGCTTGTAGGCAAGCTTCCAGCCAGTACTTAAAAATGCATGGAGGCTGTTAGCTTTCCAGGGTGTATTTTCATCTTACAGCTGTTTCCCAAACCATGACTATTAACTTTGTCTTCAGTGATAATTGGTGCATTATTTGACTTGATCAAGAGATTAAAACCTTCTGTTTCATGTTTGATTTAGAATCTATAAGACAATTAGCAATCCTCCCTATGAGCTCCTGAAGACAGATGACTTGTCAAGCAGCCTACCATCTCTGCAAGATATCCAGACTGCGTACACAAGATTTAAACAGCTGTTTTTGATCGGTAAGTCAAGCTTTGAAGTGACTGAAATGCCAGGCATAATAATGCTGGTTTATGTCTGATGATTGCAGTCCTTATCTTGCTTGGTGCCTAGCTTTTGACGGTGGTTAAAAGCAGACTTTTAAATATGTAACCAAAGACTGTGCTTATGACTGGCATGCTAATGGAGCTTTGTAGCTCTTAGACTTACCTATTGCTAAGCAGTCATAGTATCTGAAAATTACTTTCAAAGAGAATGACTGTGGAGTTGAAATGTTAGTTGGAATACGCTGCCTGAATTGAAATTTACGGGAGAGATTGATAAATCTTCTGTGATCCATTTAAATTGAATGTTAAGTGTTAATCTTTTAAGCCTTTATCCTGTATCAAGAGTTAAGGCTAAATGCTAATTTATTTTTGCCTTATGTTTTGTTACAAACTGTGTGGGACGACACCAAGCTGTGTGGTGTTGTGGAGACGCTGGAGGGAAGGGATGCCATCCAGAGAGACCTTGACAGGCTGGAGAAGTGGGCCTGTGAGAACCTCATGAAGTTCAACAAGGCCATGTGCAAGGTCCTGCACGTGGGTCGGGGCAATCCCAAGCACAAGTACAGGCTGGGAGGAGAACGAATTCAGAGCAGCCCTGAGGAGAAGACTTGTGGGTGTTGGTTGATGAGAAGCTCAACATGAGCCAGCCATGTGCGCTGACAGCCCAGAAAGCCAACCGTATCCTGGGCTGCATCCAAAGAAACGAGGCCAGCAGGTCGAGGGAGGTGATTCTGCCCCTCTGCTGTTGTGAGACCCCACCTGGAATACTGTATCCAGCTCTGGACTCCCTAACACAAGAAGGGCATGGAGCTGCTGGAGTGGGTCCAGAGGAGGGCCACAAAGTTGATCCAAGGGCTGGAGCACCTCTGCTATGAAGACAGGCTGAGAGAGTTGGGGCTGTTCAGCCTGGAGAAGAGAAGGCTCTGGGGTGATCTTATAGCAGCTTTCCAGTACCTAAAGGGGGCCTACAGGAAAGCTGGAAAGGGACTTTTTACAAGGGCATGTAGTGGTAGGACATGGCTTTAAACTGAAAGAGGGGAGATTTAGATTAGATGTAAGGAAGAAATTTTGCACTCTGAGGGTGGTGAGGCAGTGGAACAGTTTGCTCAGAGAAGTTGTAGATGCCCCATCCCTGGAAGTGTTCAAGGCCAGGTTGGATGAGGCTTTGGGCAACCTGGTGTAGTGGAGGGTTTCCCGGGAGTTGGAACTAGATGATCTTTAAGGTGGCTTCCAACCCTAACCGTTCTATGATTCTAAAACACAGGAAGCATGAGCTTGCTTAAAATTCTATCAGTCTGACTGTAAGGCTGAACATGACTACTGTAAATAGTTAAGTCCACTTGAAAGGAGTAAAAATGGGAGCCATGTGAAAGTATAGTCTAGGCTTTCACACTCTTTTCTGGGACCCCTTAACTATTTTGCTGCTATGAAACAGTACTTTGGACTCACCTCTTGGCTTGAAAAAGGCTTCACAACTCCTTGCAACTGTGCAACGTGCCATTGGGCTGTTTTGGCCAATGGGTCTTCTACAAGAGGAGGGTAAATGTTGCAATAACCTCTGCCTGGTAGTATGCTGAACACTGAGTCTGTGCACATCTGGCTATTGATATTGGGCATAGCTGAACTGATCATCAAGGAACTGTATTTTTGCCGTGTGCCCTACGGACAGTATCTGAGTCCTATTAGTTTTATACATGGAATTTAGCTGGTAAGTGATATTGATTGTAAATTAGTATGAATAGTTTCTGGTAAATATAAAGTAAGGATTTCAGTGACACTCTGAAGAGAAGTCTTAATATGTATGAGGTGTTTGGCAGAGTTTCACACTGAGGATTTTGTCTGGAATGCAGTGTCAAATCCACAGTCAATCTTTCGTAATGCTTAAGAGCTAAAAATAATTACCTATAACTTCGTGTAGTTTCTGGTAACTTACCCTCCAGTAGGAAAAAGACGGCAAGCTTGAAGTTAAGTCATTTAACATCTCTCAGGAAATACTGCGTATTTCAACGATGTGATTGTATCATTGGCTTACATTACTGGAAGCAAAAGGGCATATGTTAAAACTGCATTCCAGTAAGTGTTTTTGTCTTACAGCTTTTTTAAACAAGCTTTATTTGTAGATTGTAGCTCACTGAGTGTAGCACTATGCACTAGCAGTCTGAGAGAACCACTCAGGTAACTTTTTAGAGGTGTGAAGATCTTACAGGAATTGACTACCTTACTACTGCTTTTCAAAGTCTGAATACTTTAACCATTATTCTTGTTCTATATATGCCTGTTTAACTTGATTTAAGTGACTTTCATTGTAACTTAAGTTTCCTGAGCACATTCCCAAACTGATGTTTCAGTTATAAAAATCTATGGTTTATAGAAACATCGTAGTTTAGGCCAATCAGCAGCTAAACTCCACACAGCCGCTCGCTCACCCTCCCCACCCCCCTGGGATGGAGAAGGGAGTTAAAGGGGAAAACGGAAAGAGACCCATGGGTTGAGATAAGAACAATTTAATACTACTACTAATATATGAATGTATACATGTACAGTGATGATTATGTATGCAAACAAGAGATGCACAGTGTAATTGCTCACCACCCCTTGACTAAGGCCTGTCCCATCTCAGACTAATGATCCCGAAACAGGTAAGTCCCAACACCACAATCCCAGATGAGTGAGAGGCCCAAAAAGAAAGAGAGAGAGCACTCTGAGAGTGAAAGCTCTGGAGGAGCAAAGGTCCTTCTTTTGGTTGACCCTCATTTTTACACTGGGCATGACGCTGCATGGTATGGAATACTTCATTGGCCAGTTTGGCCCTCAATCCTAAGTACGAATCATAAGGAGAATCATGGACCCCCTGTCCTGGCTATGCTCCCCCCTATCCTGTTGTGCTCTTGCACACTGGCAAGAACACAGCAAGCTGAGAAGTCCTTGAGGTGTCAGTGCCAACTATAAACATCAGTGAGATATCAACATTCTTTCGAAATGAGCCTCAGACTAAAACCAAAACACAGAGCTCTTCTGGCTGCTAAAAAGAGGAGCTAACTCTCTCCCAGCTGAAACCAGGACATTAAGCAAAGCATAAACCACAATAGTAGATAGCTGCTTGAAAGAGAATTTTGATGGGGAAAGCTTGGATCCTCTTAAATTTTTCCTCTTGAAAAGTTGCAAAGCCAGATGGTAGTTTTGCTAAACTGCTCACAAGTGTCAGTATATGCCATTTCCCCACATACCTTAAAGGAGACTCTGAACCTTTTAGTCCTCAAATCCTAGTGGAGCATTTCTTCATTGTCCTAGAAGATGAGGATGAAGGGAAAGCTTACTTCCTATTGTGATGTTAAGCAAAATACCTTGATTAAGGGATAAAACAAGCTGCAAGTGTTTTGTTATGATTTTAAAAAGAAGTTCCTGTTTTGATGTGGAGATGACTTTGGGGGAGAAGTGCCAGACCAAGCAGTTCATTTTAGATGCCTGCATGCAAGTGTTTGAGCATGGTTGAACAAAACAAACAACCACACTTAATGTGGCTACTCAGTGTCTTGGAGTAAAGCTCTTCTGTAGTGTCCATAATGTAAGAGAGCTAAAGAAAACTTTGGTGTGGAATATAAATGTTACCACTGTGGATGAAAGCCTGTTACTTCCACAGGAAAAAAAAAAGAAATGCTTTCCTCGCTATCATGTTTTTTCATTAAATGGTTTCAAAGGACTAGAAATTGGTGTTTTAATTTTACCTTGATTCAGAATGGACAGAGGTTCTTCAAATAGTGACGTCAGGCTAAATGAAACATGAGATTTGGGTGCAAGGGGATAATCTAAAACTTGGATGGAAAGAAAGTGAACTAGGGAGTAAAGAGTCTCTTGCCTGAAGTACTGTAATGTATGTACTTTAAAGGGTATCATACTTAAAGGATGGAAATGAAATTGAATATGTTAATCAGAAAAGATTGGAAGAAAACTACAGAACTGACTAGGGAGCTTTGAAGGTGCATTGTAATGCTTATTTTGTGGAGAACTAGTTTCTATGGCCAGGGTGAAATGAATCAGGGAAAGAAAGATTTACATTTTTATAAAATGTGTAATGAACAGAATAAGGAGCATGAGCAGGCAAGGAGGCAGAACAGCTGCAAGAGCGTTATATACCTGTGCACTCGAGGATCATAGATGCAAGCTGCAAGAAGACAAGACAGAAGTGAGCATGTGTTGGAAGTAAACATTGGAAGCATATGGAGAGAATTTGGGAGGTGAGAAGATGTTAGAGAACATGCAGAATTGAAGCTGTTGGTGGAGGGTAGGGAAGGAGGGAAGCTTGGTTATTTCAGTTGTTTCTCAATAGTAGAACTGTTGCAGACCTTCGGCTTCAAGGTTTGTGTGCCTTATGCAGGAAAGGTGGACTGTTCTGGTTTTAATTTTTCCTTATCAGCTTGTGAGACCTTTCCTGTTTCTGAATTCTGGCTTTGATAGAAATAAAAGCAGTAGAGATTTAAGTTGCATTTAATCAGCTACAAAAATACTAGTTGAATTCGTAAGAGTATAATGACTTTCTGGTATTGCACCTGGCCTCCTGGTATATCTTAGCTATTCCCTTTTTTATATGTTTTAATGTGGCTTTCGTTTCAGTGAAAGCTGTTTAAAACCTTTTGCAGGTAGTCTTACATCCCACAAATTTGTGTAATCCCCTTCTGAAACCCGTTTGTGTTTCTGGCTCTAATGGTAATGACTTTAAAAATCCACCCTCCTTATATTAAGCTTTTTATAGGTCATGCTTTAGAGTCAAGGCAAGTGGAACTTGGAAGAACCCTTTCCTCTGATTAATCTTTTCTTCTTTTCCGTTCTCATTTGTCAACAGATTTATTTACTTGGTTTGGTTGCTATGAACCTACAGCATACTTTCTCTAAAAGCCTGTGGTGCTATAAAACTTTACTGGTGTTTGTAGGACTACTTCACTTCCTCATTTAGTTATAGAGTGTTGACTTGAACAGTGGTTGGAATTTACTGACTCCTTAGTATTGGTTGTTTGTAACAGTTTATAACCGAAGACTAATACAATGAATGGCTGTTTATTAGCACTATATATATGTGAACAAACCAATTTTTGTTTTTGTTTTTGTTTTTTTTTTTCAGATTATAGTACAGACTTCTGGGCAACTGATGTGAAATGGTTTTCATTACTGGAGAGCACAAACTGGCTAGAGATAATCAGGTTTGCTACACCTGTAACTTTCTGGGTTTCAAATTGTTGTTAAATGCATTTGTAGTGGGTTTTCTATCTAGCTTCTTGAAATATGACATTCTTCACTTCCAGTAGGAAAGACATTTAAGACAGACTTACGGTCCCATTTATAGATCTAATTTCTACAACTCGAGACAGTATTTTTACAGTGCAGGCTTGTGTTAAGCCTCTCACATTAAAGGATGTTAGAAGCAGCGGATCATTCTAATTACAACTCTTTCAGCAAACCTATTAAAACTTATAGATCCAGCAATTTCCATCCTGCAATTAGTCACCTTCTTTCCAAACTGAAGAATCAGAATTTGTCTCTTGCATGAAACCTATTCCGTGTCTCTGACTAGCCTTGCCATTCTTCTCTGTACTCTCTACTTCTGTAATATCCTTTAGGACGGGATGAACTGCAGTGTTCAAGATGTTAGCCTACCAAAGATTTATAAAATGACAGTTGTTCTCAGTTTTGTCCCCTTCCTCTCCTGATTGTTCCTCAAGTTCTTTTTTCTTCTCTCAGCAGTCCACAGTAAGTGTTGGAACGGTGTTGGCTAACTTAAGGTTTTTATTTGTTTTCAGTGTTACTTTGTGCTAGCTCTATTGTCTGCCAATTTATTCTGTGATCAGCTTGTTACCATGATGCACTTCTGCAGTCTTTTGTAGTCAGCTTCAGTTCTTTCTAGTCTTAATAACATTCAATAAATATTGATTGGCATTCATTCCTTAATCCAGAATTTAAATGTATGTTGAATGAGAGGTTCTAGTGAGAATCATACGTTGTGAAATGCATTGACATAACCAAGATTACGAGTAGTTTAAGGTAAATGCCAGCCTAAGTTCCTATGCTTACATGGTTTTGAAATTGGTCATTTCCATACTGGATCCAGTTGCTTCCTGGATCAGCTTGTACTTGGCTCTTGCAGTTAGTAGGAATGCCTTCTTAGCTATTCTAGGTGCTAAGCAAAGAATCTGACAACTCCACACTTACGAAATAAACTGTCAACTTCTATTAGTGACCTAAGCAGTGGCAAGAATTCTTACTTCTGTGCAAAATTTCACATGAAAATAACCAACTTTATGAAGAGTCAGGTCTAGAAACCAGCAGCGTTACATCTGGTTTTGTGTGATCTTTAATTGTATTCGATCTTCCTTGTGTAATGATAATCTGAGTAAATCTTGTTTGCAAGATTTGATTGCTGATCCTTCCCTGTGCCTCTTAAAACCAGATTATGGGCAAAATGTAGTATGTAGTAGATTAGAACATAAGTGTGGTGATGTTGACTCTTTCCAAGATAAAGACCTGGCTCCTAGCAATTGTAATTCTTCGTGTGCGTGTGTGATGGCTGCTATTGATCCAGAATAGAGTATTTTATTACAAATGTACAAACATAGGAACTAGAAATGCATGACCGATGGCCGAATAAGGATACCTCTTGAAAGTTTGCTCTTGAGGCTACATAGTTCTTCATTTACACAAGTTGAGCATGGATTTTATTGTTTTGAAGGACTAGCCAAGTTTCAGTAGTATGATGTTCTAACCTGTTTTAGGAGAAACTAATGTAAGAAACTCAATTGTAAAAATGTTCTGAAAATGTTCACTTATCTTTCCTGTACCACAACAGGCGAGTCTTGAAGAAAGCAATAGAAGTTGCTGAGTGTCTGGAAAGACAGCATACAAATGTTCTCCTTATTGGTAAGTATTCAGTGAGATTATCCGTGTGTATGTATATATATATATATTTTTTATTTTATTTTTAGTTTCTTTTTCATTACTTTAAATGTAGCTTAAGCTGTAAGTTTGTAATTATGGCAGAGGTTGGTAAAACTCAGGGTACTCAAAGTAGCAGACGCCTTAATGTCTCGCACTTCTGGAAGTGCTTCCTGTAGTTAAAAACATAAGCATAGTTCCAGGCTAAGAGAAATATGTCGTGAATGAAAACTGTTGATAAATTGGCATAAGTGTTACGCTACCTCTTATTTATGCATTCCTGTTTCCTAACTTATTTTATTAAAGGTCTCCTAGATCTTTTGCTGTACTTTAGGGGGATGAGGGGTCTACACAGGGAACAGGGAGCATGAAAACTTTCTAAAAGGATGTTTTTATGTTCTAGATACACACTGAATATCATGAAGTCTCTCTATTAAAAGTACATGAAAGAATACACTTATTGTACACATCTTGAGGAGTTTGTTTTCCTAGAGCGAGTAAAGTAATCACATGGAAACCAAACTCAATGCTAACTGTTAAGCTATTTTTGAATTAGTAATTTAGTTGGTTTGCTTTGTGGTTTTGTTTTTTTTTTTTCCCCCTGCACGCTATCATTTGAGAAACCTAGCATGAGGAAGAGGTGTTTCTAGGAGGCACCTGAAGGGTGAAGAATGCTTGTTGCTTGAGGGGAAATTTCACGCAGTGTGAAAAGATGCATGCAGGATAGGAAGGGTAAGGGCAGACAGCTGGCCCGGTAGCATAGGGCAGGAGGGGCAGTATATGCATTGTGAGAGACTGAAGGGTGTAGGGATCAAAGTTACGGCAGTAAAAGCTTGGGTTTTGCAGGTTTTATTGTCAAAATATTATCCTAATATAAGTGTACAAGAAACTTTATGGTTTTACAAAGGGAAGTATTGGAAACATGGATTAACTTCTTTCTGACGGTGTAACACTTGTAAGAAATTGTGTGCTTCTCTCATCTTGAAATGCAGTCGCGTTGATTTATGTGAAGCTAGCAATAATTTGCTTTCTTACTCAAAGTTTTAGGAATGGCTTAGACAATGTGGTTTCTCTTCTCTTCTGTAGAAGAGAGTGCTACTGATCTGTGCTGCGTAATCTCTAGCCTGGTTCAAGTGATGATGGATTCGTACAGCAGAACAAAGTTGGGTTTTCAGAGCCTTATTCAGAAGGAGTGGGTAATTGGAGGACATGGCTTTTTGGATCGTTGTAACCACTTACATAGAAGTGACAAAGAGGAGGTATGATTTTTTTTTTTACTTACTATTTAAAAGCTTACTTGGCATAAGAAGGGATTTAGATGTCAGTCAGGAAGTTCTAACTACTCTTAGGATCTTTAATTTTGGTTTTTTATGGGTTGATATTTTGTACAGTGTCACTGTTTTTGCTGTTTAGAGTTCAGCAGTGTCTTTAACTAAAAAGAATAAACATAAAATTTCCCATTCAATCTTGGGGTCTTTTGAAAGACATAGATCTCATGTCCCTTGAAACTGTCAAATGGTAGTAGTGTCCATAGGAATAACTCAAGTGAATTGCATATTCCTGTCACATCCAGAGTGACAGGAATATGCAATTCCTGTTTATATTCCACTTTATACTGTCTTGCTACATGTTGCAGTCTCATGTCTCTGTTTTTGCTTATATTTTGGGGACAGATTGCTATACAGCGTGGAAATCACGAGTATAAACTGACTAGTTCTGATCAAGTATTGCTACAAACTAGTCTTGCTTTGCCAACTTTAAAAGGCTGTGTAGCAGCAGCTTTCGTAGCAAGTTAATGTGTGCAGATTCAGGTTAGGAAGTGTTTGTTTCTTCTGTCAACAAGTGGCCAAAGGTAGCTCAGATGATGCTTCTTCAGAGCTCAGCCAAAATTACGTGCAGCAATTCTGCAGTTAACTAGATTGCTTTCCTTAAGATCTGTATTTGGAGATGCTAAATATTGTTAAGTAAATAGTCTGCGTGGTGGAACTTATGTTTTTCTGAAACTGATGCAGTATTTTCTTTATGTAGGCTCCTGTTTTTCTGCTCCTGTTAAACTGTGTTTGGCAGTTGGTACAACAGTACCCTCCAGCATTTGAGTTCACAGAAACTTACTTAACTGTCTTGTCAGACAGCCTCTATGTGCCTATTTTTAGCACTTTCTTCTTCAACTCGCAACATCAAAGAGACACTAATATGGTAAGAGTTTGTTGTTTTGTGAGTGCAATGTGTTGCAGAATGGGTTTGATCAACAAAGAACACCCCAAAAAATAATTCCTTAGCAGCATGTTTTTTCGTACTTATTTGAATAGTCACGCTTTGAAGGGTGAATGAGTGCAGCTTTGGGCGTAAGGCGTCAAGTTCAGGACTTAAGAGTTCATGATGACAAAAGGAAGGTAACTCAGGAATATGTTAATTCTAATGTGTGGCTATGAGTTCATATTTATTGCTCTTCAGTGAAAGTGAAGCTCCTTAACCTAAAAGGAATGTCCTGTTTTCCTGCAGAATAAGTTATCTACAAAATTCTTGCATAGCATTTTCTGTTCTATTCCAAAATCAACATTTCCTGAATGTTGATTTACATTTTGTTCATGCTTTTTCCTCTAGCCTAAGAAACTGGAAGCAATTGGACAATTGGAGAATCCTCTGCAAAGCTGCAGAGGCTAAAAAAAAAAGTGAAGATCATTGACTTGCATATAAATAAAACATTGATCATAAAATTTGAGAGCACTGCATAACTGCAGTTAACTTTCGAAGTTTGGAGAGGTTTATACCACATGCCCCTTGTGTTTGAAGAATTCAAGTGTCTATCTCCTGCCCAGTTTTCAAAACTTTTATTTTTTCATCAGATTATTTAATCTTACTTTCAACTGTGAAAGGCATTCTTGGTGCTGTCTAATTGCACTGTTGACATGAAGCACTGTCTGAAGTTAAAGAAATGGAGGGCGCCTTTGTCTGCACTTGCATCTAATAATGTTGAATATGTAGAAATCATGAGTGGTACTGCAACTCTGTGGCCTCTTCTGTGAAAAGCCAGTTTCTTAATTTCACCTTGACTTGGCCAGAATTCCTTTCTAGCAGTATTAATTGTGACCTGTTTGTTTTGGCAGAGCGGTGAAAGCCTCAAGACACAAAGTGGTCCTTTCAGATTTCTTACTGTGTGGGACTGGTCTGTGCAGTTTGACCTCAAGGGCCAGGCTTTCCTGAACAACCCTCTTTATGCAGAGAAGCCAAAACCAGATAAAAGTCAACGGAAAACTGCACGATTCAAAGTAAGATATGTGCCGCTTAACTATTTCTTTTTTTTTAAGTGATGAAAATATTTTGCACAACTCAGAGTTCAAATGTACTCACAGGGGAAGTATTGGTGCAAAGATTTTTTGACAAAATAGGCGTATACCTCAGCCTTACCTGGATCTTAAGAATGCAATTTGCACCCATCTCGGTCGTAAATCACTGCTTTACAGTTACTGTGCATAGCTGTGAACTTAGGGGTTTTTCTTCTTAACTTTGTGCAAGTGTAGTGGTAACTCGTGGAACTTAACATCCAGGTGAGTTGCACTGATGTTTGAAGTGAGTTTATTTTGTTGTTCCATGGGGTACCTAATTGAAATACATAGCCTATAGGTTAATAATTGCCTCCCTAATTTTGTCTGAGTATAATTGGAGTGCACTTGGAGAGGGACCAACAACACCACTGTCTAGGGTATGGAGGATTATGGGTTTGTTTGGAGTAGCCTCCTTTAATTGTGATATCTCTGTTGGTTAAGTTCTGTTTCGTACAAAGCATTCTTGAGTGAGACACTGTCAGTATAATGTGCAGCGTTAATCCAGGAACTCCTACATAGTGGGATGCAATGAGGAACCACTGGATAAGTTTTGAATCAAGGGCTCTTTGATTTGTGTGGCTAGCTTAAACTAAACATGAAAGTCTGTAATACTCTAATATATGCAAAGAACTCTCCTTTTTAGAAGAAAAATGCTTTATTCAGTGTTACTTCATTGCAATAGTTACAGTGCAGGGAAGGTATCTGAGAATACTAAGTATGCTGTGTGAAGTATTTGGTGTACTAGTCATTGAAGAGTAACAGTTTTAGACTATATAGCAAAGCAGTGGCTGTGTTTAACTTTGCTTTAAGTATTTTCTGAATACAAGTTATGTTTCTCTTCCTCTTCAGATGTTTTTTTAAACTCCCATCAGTATTTATCTCAGCATATTTTTCTCTTCTTTCCTTTTAAAGCATCAACGGCAGCTTTCTTTGCCATTGACACAAACAAAATCTTCCACAAAGAGAGGATTTTTCAGGGAGGAAACAGATAATTTAATTAAAAACATTCTTGGTAAAAGAATTGGCAAGTTCATAAATTCCTCAGATGAACCCCCTAATAGCTTCAGGGAATTTTATGATAGCTGGCATAGTAAACCTGTTGACTATCATGGTCTTCTGTTACCTCGCATCGATGGCCCTGAAATCAAAGTGTGGGCACAACGGTATTTACGATGGATTCCTGAAGCCCAGCTTCATGGTGGTGGTACAATAGCTACAGCGGCCAAGATTTTGGACTTGATGGAGGAGGTGCAAAGCTTGCAGGTGAAAATGGATGAAGAACATAGTCAAGCTATTTCTAGAGACGTACACTCTGTTCCACTGCTGAGGCAGTCTCCCCGTTTGTCATCCTTGTTTCCATTTGCTTCACTTCAGAGACAGTCTATCAAACCAGCTTTACCCACTAGCACCTGGAAAGACTTGGAAGATGAAGATGACTTGGTCAAGAGGGATGATGAATTTGTTGATCTAAGTGGTGATATGTTGTAAAGTGTGTATTAATTAAAGTATGAATTGTATGTGGCTGAGCTCTGAGTTTTAAATGATGTGCTGCCTCCCATGTAAGGAACTCAGTCAAGCATCTGCAGCCTGTTTAATTAGTTTGTGGGGTTAAAAAATGACTTGGTTGGAAAGAACTAGTTGCCATGATTAACTGAGCATATTTTGAACTTCCATTTCACTCTAACAATAGTTATTGCAGAAACAGATTTTTAGCATAGGTGCAATAAAAACACAAGTGTAGACTGTGGTAACCATAAAAACAAAACACCAAACCAAAACCACAAAACCCATTATTTTCTGATGTAAAGGTGGAATACTAAATACATATAGCAACAATCACTGTTTTAAGGCAAAACCTCTCCCCCTTACGCTAAGAGTACTAGAATTGGAAGTACTGTGACTGGGAACTGTTAATACATCTGCGTTTCCCCCTCTGTGTAAAACAGAGGAAAGTGCAATAAAATGTGCATTCACAAATAAGCTTTTTACAGCTGAGGAATAAACTTGTGGTCACCCAGAGTGTTCTGTCTGCTGTGGCATCAGCTGAAGTCATGTGCTCGTAGACCTTCATCTTTGGCTTGCAGGACTTCACCTTGTGTGGTATTATAATCGCAGCTTGGTTGCTCTGAGCCTGTGCGTGCGTTTAGCTTAAGGAACAGATGCACGAGATGAACGACACATTTCAAGTCTTACTGTGTGGCTGCTGTGCTATATGCCCTTGCTGCCTTCGAATGTTAAGTCCCAAATGTGTGCTCTTAATTGTAAGAAATGGCCTTACCAAGATTCTAGTTTGCCATGAGTGTGTTTTTTTCTCCTTTTAAGAGCAAGACACTCGTTTTGACTTTCCCCGTGTATGCCAGTTGCCTTTGAGGCTTTCTGTAGCTTGCACTGAGACCTTCCCTGCAGAAGGGAAGACTCTTTAATCCCTCAGTGAAGCTGGATTTGCAGTGTGTTGCCACTTGTCATGAGTTGGTGGTACAGCTTATGAATGTGGCGTTCATACTGTATGAACACTTGTATCCTGTTGCTGGATGTTGTAACAGTACCTCAGTGAAAAAAGCCATAAAAAAAATGCCTGTTGACTTTGATCTACTGTGTGTATGCTTATATAGAAAGTATTTTTACTGCAAATAGTCCTCTGTAAAGCTGAATGTTATTTGACTGTCAAACTATTTTGAACCCTTAAATTCTAGAATACTGCAAGAATGGATGCAAGTCATAAAATCAGTTACACTGAGAGGGTAGACATTGAATATTTTCTCTATTCTCCGATTTAGAAATCCACGCTGGGAATCTTAGCTGGTGGAGAAACTGTTGCTTAAAATGGATCAGCTCAGTGTAATAGGGGATATTAAACTGCGCTACTGATCAGTCACTTCACACTGAGTTGTGTTAATATGTACAGAAAAAAATCTATCAGCAGACTTCCAAAACCACGTTTATTTTAATGTATTAAAATTTATTAATGGAGAAAGGGGGATAGCTTAATGCAACTATGCTGAACTGAAGCGTCCCAGCTCTTGATTGCCTTAAGTCTTAGTGCAAGGACAATAATTGTTTGTAGCATTTATTTAAAAATACACTAGTACTTATGCTTTCTTCTGTGATGCATAAGATCTTATAGCTAGCACTTGCTGGAACGGGCTGAAGGACAAGTGACTCCTGTATGCAATAATACTTTGCATGTTGAATGAGCAATGCATTTTTGTGGCGAAGAAATACCTATTATTCTAATGTCATCTGGGCTCAAGAGTTGTTTTTTTTTAAACGCTGCCATTAGAAAAAAAAATTAAATGGATTTTTCTATACTTTTGATCAAACTGTTGTAATGTTTCAATCATGAAGATTACATATTTATATTAAAGAACAGATGTTGGACATCTTATTTGTACATAAGTTATCAGAAGTTTTTATAGAAGAGAAACGTATATGTGGAATTGAACATTGGAACACTTCTAATGTAGAGTAAATACCATTGTTACTGGTTTTCTGCACTGTGGGATTGGAAATGTACTTAATATTTTTACTCCAGGCTTCTGTTTATACCTCCAAGTTTTTACACTGAATACAAGCTAGAAGCTTTACAATTTTGGTTGGTTGTTTTTTTTTAATACTGTTGTTTCTCTCTAGCGGGCTGTTTGGAGAGTGTTAATAAAATATACTTTGACATACTTGTCCTGAAATGAGAATGTATGTTTAAGCTTGTATTTTGTGAGTGATGCTTTACATCATAGCAGACGTGACAATCTGCAGCGGCAAGTTTTTTTCTAGTTCCACGCTGGCTTTCAGAGGCTGTTAGGGGAGGAAGCTGTGCAGTTCTGACCTGGCTGTACTTGCTGGAGAAGTGCTGTCAGTTCAGGAAAGTCATCTTGCTACGCTGTACCAAGCTTTCCTGTGGGAAGTTAGAAAACGTCTACTGGATGTCAGTACTTGAAGGTTTATTAAACACTGTTTACTTTGGTCTTAGCACTGTGCTTGTCTTCCTCTATTTCAAGGGGGAGTGCTCTTACAATGTTCAACAAAACAACTTCTTGAAATGGCTATGGCGGGATATTACTCAAACCAGATGTGTATTGGGCATGGATGGGGAGGTGCTCACAGTAAGCCACAGAGTACAAATTAAACACTTCTATCAAGAGATCACAAATTACTAGCTTCTGTACTACAAAACCAGCACTAGTGCAAATCTCGCAGTCAAAAATCGTGCCACTTTGGGTATTTCCCAAAGAGAATGTTGCAAGACTGCAGCAGGCTTGTTCTTGAAGTCTCGTAGGGCGACAGCTTCTGCAGCGGCTGTGGAGTGCCAGGTCATGTTGTAACACAAGGTGTGCCTCTGCCTCGCCCACATCTTCTAACGATCACTGAGTGTACTTTGACCGCTTGGCTTTGATTTAAGACTGCGTTCACTAGTGAAAATGTTGAGCTGTTGATATCCACCGCATTGGGATACAAACATGTATTTTATAAAGGTACTTACAGCCAACTTGGCCTCCTGGTCTCTTGCACCAGTTAAAGCCTTTTTCCAAGCTCAAAGCATGGAAGCAGAACTTCTTCAGGAGGCAGCAGAATACTTTCTGCTGTGGATATCTTATGATGGATTAGTTTTGTCACAGCAGAGGTTACCTTCATTCTAATCTTTGGCTGGAAACCTCATATGCAATGTTTATGCCTCGTAGTCTCTTGGAAAGGACTAGGTTTTGCATAAAACTCTTTAGAAATTATGTGGGATGGACTTCGTATTCTGGGACAGGGTGGAGATGGATTAGCGAACTCTTTTGAGTCTTAAAAGAGCATTCCATGTACAAAACTATATATGCTCTTCCAGGATTAATTTAGTGGCTGGTGGGGAAGGAGGGGTGGGTAGAAGGGGCAAACCCCTTCTTCTTCTGGTCTCAGGTCCTTCATCTTGGTTTGTAGTAAAGTTAACTTGTGACAAATGCTTTTTGTCAGCATTTGTGGGATGGTAGAGCTCCTACCTGGTGGGACAGTAGAGTTATTTTGGAAGGGAGTGACACAGAAGGTGAGGATAGTTGCTGTTGGAGTTGGAGAAACAGTTTTGTGGGGAGGGCACCTCCACATTGAAGACGAAGGGAGTAGAAATGGGGTTTTTTAAGCTGTGTTGGAAGAACGTTGTAGAGACTGCAAACAGTTCTGAGTCCCAGGGAGGCTTGCTTGGAAGGTTAAGTTTGACTTTAAAGAGTATCAGCTTTAAACTTGTTACAAAGGCTGAGAAGAAGTTAACAGGGGACTGCTAACATCTTGGCAAGTGTTTGTATGTGCAAGGGATGCTTGATGCTGCCATGTTTTGGACTGCTGTGAAGCCTTGTTCTCACGTGGAAACCCTATGAAACAGTAAACACTGTTGCTTGATGGCAGCATGTTACTCTGCTTCCAGTGAGCATTTGGTTGCTCAGGTTTTTATTTTAGCAATCAAGTAAAATGAAATCGGTACTTCCCTTAATGTTATGTGTGGATTCTTAAAGAGAGCAGATAATGTTTACCTAGGAAGTCCATTTGTTGATTTATTTTGTGAGTAGGATCATAGAATGGTTAGGGTTGGAAGGGACCTTAAAGATCATCTAGTTCCAACCCGCCTGCCATGGGCAGAGAAATCCTCCACTACACCAGGTTGCCCAAAGCCTCATCTAACCTGGCCTTAAACACTATCAGGGATGGGGCATCTACAACTTCTCTGGGCAACCTGTTCCACTGCCTCACCACCCTCAATGTAAAAAATTGCTTCCTTATATCTAATCTAAATCTCCCCTCCTTCAGTTTAAATCCATTGCCCCTTGTCCTATCACTACACACCCTTGTAAAAAGTCCCTCTCCAGCTTTCCTGTAGGCCCCCTTTAGGTACTGGAAAACTGCTATAAGGTCTCCCCACGGCATTCTCTTCTCCAGGCTGAACAGCCCCAACTCTCTCAGCCTGTCTTCATAACAGAGGTGCTCCAGCCCTTGGATCATCCTCGTGGCCTTCCTCTGGAGTCGTTCCAGTAGCTCCATGTCCTTCTTATGTTGGGGACTCCAGAGCTGAACACAGTATTCCAGGTGGGGTCTCACAAGAGCAGAGTAGAGGGGCAGAATCACTTCCCTTGACCTGCTGGCCACACTTCTTTTGATACAGCCCAGGTGTCGTGGTTTTTGGACTGAGGATCGAGACAAGAACCGAAAAGGGAGCACCCACCAAACATGGTCTCGGGCAAAACATGACTCAGGCTTACTTCTTAAAACGAAATAATTTATTAACAGTTACAAGAGACACAAGGGAACAAGAAAACCGGTTACTAGGAGAGGAGAAAGAGAAAACAAGGCCCGATCTTAAAACACCACCTCCCCACCCCCTATTTTCCTTTCGTTCCTGGCTCTGTCTTCCCCCCAGCGGCGCAGGGAGACAGGGAATGGGGGAGTACAGGTCAGTTCATCCATGTTGTTCACTGCCGCTCCTTTCTTAAAGGAGGAGGAGTCTTTACACCATTTTTCCCTTGCTTCGGTGGATCCCCTACTCACAAAGAAAAAGTCCCCAAACTTTTCCAAAGTAAGTCCTGCCCGCAGGATTGCAATCCTCCCCATGGATCGCACCAGTTCGGGCTTTACCAGTCTCGGCCTCTT